CACAACAAGGGTTGGAGAGATTGCAAAAGTCTCCCCACAGAACTCCTCAAATGACATCAACTTCTCCCCTTGTATGTGGTCGCCGTCTCCGGAAGCCACTTCCTTACCTTCTTCTCTATGAAGGTCATCTGGGTGTTCACATTCCTCTCCTATTTCTGTCACGTTACTGCCCTCCTCCTCCTCCTCCTCTTCTTCTTCTATTGTGCTCAATAGGTTGCATCGAAACCTCTTAAATTCCCTTTCTAACTTCTCTTGGTCTCTTCTCTCCCTTCTCATCTACTTCGCCTCTTCATACTCCTCACAGAGCCTTTCGAGCATTAGGAATTCTCTCAGGCTAGAGGAGCACTCGCTATCCTCATCCTGATCTTCATCATCTCTATTCGCAATATCTTCACCTTCCATCTTCCTCTCCTCTGCTTCCACATTCCTATTCTTCTCTGCCTATGCAGCCTCCTCACACAGTCTTTCAAGCATGAGAAATTTCCTCTAACTAGATGAGCACTCGCTATCTTTATATTCACATTCATATTCTCTACTCTCAATCACAATCCCATTTTCTACTTTCCTCTGCACTGCCTTCTCACTCGTATTCTCCTGTTCTATTCTATTCTTGATCTGCTCCAACTCTTCATATTTCTTACATAGGCTTTCGAGGGATGGAAATTCTCCCAAGCTAGAGGAGCATTCGCTGTGGGCGTAGGTGTCGGTGCCAGTGTCGGTGTCTTCTCTACTCTCGATCTCGACTTCTACCTCCTTCTCTTTAACTGGATTCTCACTCATAGTCGCTTGTTTCATTCTATTCGTCGCTTCCCCTATCTCTTGATGGCCTGTGCTGATTCTAGTCTCTTCTCCTGCTTCCACAGCTTCATATGCCCTCATAGGCCAGTCTTTTCTGACGCGCCTACGTCGAGTAGAGCGGAAGAAACGATGCGTGGTTGGTACACAGTTGCCCATTGCAAAAATTTAGCGAAAGTGAAAATTAGCAGCAGTTTTTGTGTTTGAAGCGAAATAACCCACGAAGATATCGATCATCAATTAGGACAATTTACTCGAGCACGAACGTGTGTGTGTGCGTCAATTAAATTGTACTAATATTTATTTATTTATTTCAAATGGCAGGCTTTATGATATTTATCATTAGCCCTTAATCTTTGACTTCAGCTTCCCCCAAGTAGGGGGGGGGGTACATTTATAGCAGTTAATTAATAGCATTTCATTAGCTGTCTTCTTGCTTCCCAGTATCTCTGGCTTTCCGTACTTGTCTTTAGGGCTGGACACCGAATCAGGTGGGTCTTCTCCATTTCCTCCTGTAGGTTACATAGAGGGCATGTGGGTTGAGTGTATACTCCCAATCTGTGAAGGTGTTTTGCCAAGCAATCGTGTCCGGTACGTAGTCTAAACTCAGCAACGCATTCGATTCTTGTCCAGTCGGATATGTCGGAGATTGCCACTGTCCACTGTTTCTCCTTTGTTCGAGCTTTAATTTCGTTGCACCTTGAGGTCTGGAATTCTCTCCTGATTAAGGCCTCCATTGTGTGGAACGACATCGGCCGGTCCATGGATTGCAAAATCGTTGTCCCCTTCTTAGCAAGTGTGTCAACTACATCAATGTATGCTAATGGGTTCATGGGGGGAGAGAGGCTTTTTGGTTTGTCATCGATTTGTAAT